AATATTTGTATATTATAAACTTACATGTATATGTATATATATATATATATATATTTGTCATTCGCTTGCGATCTAAACACCGATAATTCGTTTCTCTCAGAATGGATAATAACAAAATAACCAATAAACAGTGTTTATATTGTATAATATAATATTATAATGTATGATGTACCATATTTATATTGTTTTTGGCGAAATAAATATAATAATATGATAACGATTAACGATCAATGATATTGAATAATGATTTTTCGTTATAAAATATAATTTATATAGCGTTTTAAATAATCATATTATTGTTAGCACCGACGTTTGCTGTCGCAGTATAAACAAGTCGAACTTTATGTATACAATATACATTGTTTTTTCCATAGTCATATTTTATATATATATATAACATATATTATATACAGGTAAAACAAAATCCAGTTGTGTACATCGTTTACACTTTATAACATTAAATACGTGCACTTCGAAAACTTATATTAAATTATGATATGCTTAATTTATTATTCAAATACACTTTTTTTCGTAATTCGTTTTTCTCCACAAACGGATTTTCTTCGCCCACCCGCGGYGCTTTCAGAATCGGCGTCATTATTATACGTATTACGCCCGTATAAGTGTGCAAATTCCAAAACGATTTTATACGCGTGCAACAAAACCCCCCGAGTGAAGCAGTGTGAAGTATCGACTTACACATACATTACACACGATGTAGGTACACACCTACAACATTCGCGTGTACATAATATGTATATATATATATATATCGTCTTCAATATGAGGTGGAAATTAGATTTGTAGCTCGACTAAACGGCTGAGGGTCGCGTCGACATCTTCCCCTTCACCGTGCAGTATACGTGTATACATATTATTATACACATACGTATATATATACCTACACCGGCCGACGACGGTTAAAACTCGTCCGGCGCGCGCGTGACAATATTTACACGTAGGTACCTATATGTGTATACATATATTATGTATAAATGGTACGAGGGGTTACGTTAACTACAGCTAGATGCAAGTATATAAGGGGCGAGGGAGCGAACAATATTCTTCTTTTTTCCCCGTCATCATCTTTACAATATGTTGAAAAATAAATAATAAAAAGTAAAAAGCTCGTGAAACTTGTGTACATGACTTCCACTTTAACAAAGCGTGTGTCTGTATGATACACAAACGTTATTTGTGAACCTTTATTATATGTATATAAAAGTATATATATATATAGGGTAGGTAGTAAGGTACATACGAGATGTCTTCAGYGTTTGTCGTCGTATGCGCTGCAGCACACGCCCGCCCACTTGTCTAAATTAGGCTGCACATGCACTCATATAAAATAATATATTATTATCCATAGTTTTAATATAATTTCTCATATAATAAACACCTCCACCTTTATTCATACAAAGTATAAAACGCAATATTGACTAATACGATAAATAGGAACCTGATGCAAATATTAATATATAATTATTATAATATTACATTTAACGTTTAATATTTTTCATATTAGTGATTTGATCTGTGTAGTATAATAAATCATTATGTTTTACGTATGAGCTATATTAGAATATGACTAAAATTATGTTAATCCATAAAATCAAGAATGAAAAACCATTGTTTCTTTTAATGTCTATAGATAGACAAAAAAATTTGAGTAACTGAGCATAATAAAGTTACATACATAACATTTTTTGAAATAAACAAAATTTAAGAAGACTAAACGTATTTAGTGAAACATATTATTGTACATAATTTGTGTAAATATAACTATATAAGATATAACTCAATAAATGCGCTATCTGTCATACCGAACGCTGTACGCGCAAAAGTCAAAATCGTATACTTGAACGGTTTTGTATATTTCTCTTTCCACCGTATATGTACCTAACCTATAACCTACATACACGTACGGCACATTTATGTTGGATATAAATGTATATATATATTTTATTTGCGTTTGTAAAGTTCGAAACTGCATTATTATTATTATTGTAACGGTGTGGCACACGTGTGCGCAGTTAATAATAATAATAATAATAATAATAAAACCCACGAGACGTAGACTCGCAGTTGGATTGTTTTCTTTTTGTTTAGTAATTTTTTTCTTTTCTTTTTTTTTTTTTTGTGAGCCTTTTGGTATATGATATTGAACAAATATCGTGATATTGTAGTTTTCATATTCGATTGACCTTTCAGCTCTTGGTTAACATACAAATACCTAATGCGTGCAAAAACACCATTACGAAGAATTACTGCARCACAAGAAGTTATTTTTATATCCACACCTATACGTCTATAATGATCGTGCGACTATTAATAAATATCACAAAAGATACGTCTGGATTTTTGGAACCGAACCATAGAAAAAAGAAATAGTAATAGTAATAATATTGAATCGTAACCCGTGCGAAAAAATCTCCGAAATCATGGTTTCGTGCATAATTATCCCGAAATATTATGGCGTGCAGTAGTCGAAGGCGATGCACCAGTTATTAAAAAATCGTAGGGCACACAATAATTATAGTATAAAATTCATAATATTATTATACAATATTATAATAATATGTTACTCCCAGCGGTATCTGGTGGAGCCTCGCTACCGCCACCACGTGTGGTTACCGTCGTCTATTTCCCGTTAGATTTCGCCTACTTTTCTCTATACATACAAAATATGTTATCGCAGTGCCGTTAAAATTCTCTGAAAACCGACTTGTCTAAACGAGTCGTTTTAATGATCGAAATTTTGATTTTTCGCCACTCGTTTGTCGGGGGAAAATGGAACGTCCGACCCTTCGGGAAATACAATTCACAAGAACTTCCCGCCCCACCGACCTTACACGTCATATACGAACATCACTATTACTATAATAAATACAATTAACGATGTCTGCGAACACCGTCTCCCGCTACAGTTTTTATATACGAACTGTTTATAAAAGTGTAACAGTTGGCGAAAAACCAATCGTTAAACAATATTATGTATTAATATATTTGAGGAAGTATTATTATGAGCTATTACGCTTTACCGAAATTTTCGTACTTACTGCGCTCATTATTGTACGCAAACATAAACAAATATTCCACGTTCTTACAATAAAAACACTAATTTGATAATAGAATAACATTGCAAAACAATTGTTTTAGTATATGGTGTAATATCTATAACTCATACCTATGAAATAATATTATTATAACTTAATTTTTGTTTTTTTCTTAAAAGTTGTAAACATAATGTAAATGTTTAAACAAATTGGTCATTAGTGGCATCAATAAATATAAATAAATTAGTGATAACATTGATTTTTTCATCTTAATATAGAGACATTTTCAATTGATATATTTTTCATATTTATTTATTTTTCGATGACGATTTTCAATATTAGTTTTATAATATTTAAAATCTTATGGTCTTAAAAATGTTTATTTTTGAATAAGTCTTATTCTATTTTAAATWAATTGTTCCTTTAATACTATTGTAAAGGATTATGAATCATAAAAATGCAATTCCACGCTAGTCTCTAAGAGTGGTTTACATAAATGCAATTGGCAAAAAATGCATAAAATCATTTACAGTATGTAACTACTATTGTCTAGTTTATGTCTGGGCAGTTATTCGTTAATATTTTTAAAGTTGAATAAATCTCTTGTGCACACAAATCTATACATTAAATTTAAATAATTTAATTTGTCAAAAAAAAAAAAATAAATAAATAAGTATATAAAAGACAGAATCAACTTTTCTATAAAAAGTTAACGTTAGTCTAATAAGTATAAGATTCTACATATTTTTCTTTGTCACAAGTTACAATAAACTATTGGTATAAAGTAGTATTAAGTAATTATATATATAATGAATACCAATAAAACTAAAATAAAATAATGATGAATATATAACATTTAATTTATAGGTATCTATTAAATCTCAACTAAACTGTGTGTATTATAAATAAACTTTAATCAATTTTATTTTATGCTGAATTTTAAATAAAGAGTGAATGGAAATTATTATTTATTTATTACTTTACCAACCTTTTGATTCAAGAGTAGTTAATGAATCACTCAGTTATTGAATTGTATCACATAGTGTAATTAATAAGAAAATTAAATTTTTTAAGAAAAAATATAGTGTAGGTGCGCATATACTTATTAATCATTATTAATAATTATTTTTATTGAAGAATTTTTAGAGAATTATTTAGTTACCTATATTAAAAAGTATAATTTTTGCTATACTAAATGTTTGTTTTACATAACTTTAAACTTTAAAACAAAACTTCTTCATGATTTATCATTKTATTCTAAATTAAGTTGAATTACTTACAATTTATACATTAAAATGAAAGTTTTTTAGTTAAACATAAATCATAATAATAGCTTTATAATAACAATATATTGTACCTATACATGCAAATTATAAACATAAATAATATAAATATTCTAATAATACCCTAATACATTAATTTATAAATACTACATTCAAGTTAAAAGTATAAAATTTATTTGAATTTAAATGTTATTATAAACACCTTTATTTTAATTTATAGAACATAGGGGTTTTACTATTTGATTTAATTATGATTTAACCATTTAACTTTTGAAGCACCTCCATATGAAGTCTCTTCACTCTGTATTTTTTTCTGTTATATTATCTTTTATCGCTTAAGCTTATTCATTGTTCAATAATTGCAACAGATGCGTAATATAGAATTTTGTTAAAAAATAAATTAAAAAATATTTAAGTAATAAGTTAAGTATTAAATATTAATGATAAATACTATTAAATAGGTATATTAATGATGGACTCATATTTATAATCGCACYCAACGTCAAATAAATTTCCATAAAATTAAATTGGTTTATACCATGCAACGTATTTGTTTATAATAGTAAATAACTATAAATATTTAAAAAAAATGTAATCATTTTAATGGAATATTTTTTTTAGGACATTTCATAGTAAATTTAAAATAGAAAAATATGTTTACCTGACAATTTTAATGGCAATTCTGCAATTCTATTAGGATCCAGTGGCGTACCGAACGGAAAAGGTCTAGGTCCAAAATGAAAGGGATGGAACCCTTGGTTTCCTGCAAACGAGTTAAATAATAGGCCTAATACCCAATTTAATTTGATAACAATTTATCAAGCATAAGTGTGCATTAATTTACTCACTGGTTTTCGACCTTGGCTCTCTAGGACCGTCCACTGTGACTTTAATGGCTTTGGAATAAGTAGCTACTTGCGGTGGACACGAATTCAACATTATAGTCAGTGTAAAACTTTTTCCTGGAAATAATAAAACTTTTATGGTAAAAAAAACAGTAGTATTATAGTGCTCAGTTGTGGTATAATATTTGTAACGTCATATTATAATGTTTTTTTTTTTTTTTTTAAGAAATAATCATATCATAGCATTGTCTCACGAGTATTAGTGATGTATGTGATGACCTTACGGCATATAATGTTTTTTGTTCAAAGATTTCGTCTTTATAAAAATTAATTTTTTGGAATTCCTTTCATATAAAATACATAATATCTTGCTTCAATTCCACTTAATATTTCGCGTCAATTATAAATTATATTAAAATGCAATTAAATTTGCTGTGTAATATGTATAGCATATTAGAATAGACCTATAGTATAATGAAATCTAGATATTTCATGAAATATTTCATTCCATTTTAATAACATTTTACCGTTTTTTCTGACATACTACAAAATAACAAAAATATATCATAAAACTTTGTGATGGATAAGTCAAAAAGACTCGCTGCAATAAACTAGTAAATGCTTGTTTTTGGCCGAATAAATTGTTATTTGTATACCAATTATTTCAACATGTTCATCTAATGAGAAAAAAAAATGTATTMACAGAAATAAATGGTAAAAACATTTATAGCAACAATACGTGGGTAACTAGGTTTCTTTGTATTTTGTTTCGAACTATAATAGCAGTGGCCTCTAAATGATAAAGTACATTGTGCTGTGGAGTTCATAAATAGCACATTTGATTTATATTTTGAGGCATATAATATTATATATAATATGGTTTTACACACTGGGTGCAATGTTTATTATACATTATAATACACGCAACACGCAGTGTATTATATATATTAACCATATATTGAGAAACGAACTCAATAAATTAATTTTACTATCATAAAATAGATAAACACATTTAGTTTTGAGTCAGGTACCAATATAAAAATATAAAATAAACTCGAATTCTGAATTACAGTTTATGAAAATCCTTACTTCTTTCTTCAGCACTTAAAATTTGATAAACGTTACACAAATATTAAAAGTGTTAGRACACCAACAACCTTTTTTTCAGTTTGCCGTGTATCAGATAGGTAATTCAAAATGTATTCAGTATACACATATTGCGAGCAACCGAAATATGTAACAACACCTAGTCTCTATATGTCATCGCAAATTGCGTATTATTTAATATATTGTAGTTTGAGTTCAGAGGGAGTTGAGCTCAGAATCAAAAATTACCTGAAGGCACTAATAAAACTTWAAATTTAAATTTAGTGATTATATTGAAAAATACATCATAAATAATTAGAATACGGTTAAGCTTATTGAATGTTGAATGTCCGTTTAACTTGAACATGTGCAAATATCAAGAATTTTTAATATGATGTCAATGTTTTAAGTTTATCACTTATTAGTATTATATACATATATATGTATTATATGTTATATATGTTATTATATATATGTTTGAGAAAATGTATTAATGCGAATGCTAAGTTGTTTCTTATTTACAATTTACGTTTAAAAAGAATCGTAAAAAAATACTCTTCAACGACTACGGATATTTGATAAAATCATTTATTGTTCCATATTATAAATTCGTTTTATTTTTGTGCAATTGTTTTGTTAAGTACTTTATTTGTATAATAAGTTATAAAACCAATACAGTTAAAATGTTTGTCCACAATTCATCATCAACAATAAAATATGTTTATAAGTTATAAATAATGATTTTATAACTAGACAAAATTGTATAACATTTATTACTACATTCACGTAATTTACTAAGGAAATCRTAAGTCTAGCATATCAATGCTAAGTTAAATCAAAAATCATGTAGCACTGAAAAACAGTAGAATTTACCAATAAATAAACACTCAATATCATTCATTAATATATACATAAGGACAAAAAGGCATATTGCATAAATAGTAGTACAGTAATAATGTTAATAACTGACTGAAAAAATTAATAATACCTTTAAATAGTACCTTTAAATCGTATTTTACATTAGTTCGAGAATAGGTATAGTTTATTAATATACGTGGTACAATGTTAATAATATGAATAAAAGTGGTAACACAGAATACTGAAATTTAATAAAGTATATAAGTATTTTTTTAGGTTTAGAAATCGAATTAATAACATAAAATTATATATATAAAAATTGGTAACAATATAATAAATTATATGTTACAGGTATCAACTATACTATTCCTATACATATATTGAACATATCGATCAATGTGCTTTTCAGTGGCAACTGATAAAAAATGGTAAATATTTTTATTTAAACATCTGRAATGTATATGTTGTTTTTAATTTATCATATAATTGTATTTGACTCAATATAGCGTTTCCAAAGATGATTTTGCATTCCACTCACTTCGATTCTGAATACTGATCATTATTCACAAGACCTGAACGTCCTGAACTAATCAGCTATATTCACATCTTCAGTCCCATCCCCTTATAATTGATAAAAGAGTAAAGGAAAATGTGTGCTTCTTAAGGAGATTGATGGATGGAATATTGATGCTCTTTTTCTGCTCAACAAATTAAATATTCAAGTTTCTACCTGTTTCACRCGCTCCTTAGTTCTTTTTCATGTAGGTATCTCCACCCCGTCCAAAGAGTGATTGTAAGATTTATTAATAATATAATGCAACCCCACTATTTTTGTTTTTGTTTTTTTGTTTCTACTTGTATTTGCAGTATATTTGTATTTTTATTAATCAATTTAATCTTTGTTGCTGTTATTGTTTGTTACGAATGATCTCAATTAAAGAGTTTTGTAATTATTGTATTTAATACCTACCAGTTTGATGACATGATTATATTTAACTATAATATGATATGTAATTTTTTAACCATTTAATAAATTTGAATAGTAATAATATTTTATATACCTACTACCAATAATAATTACAAGTCTGTGAAAATGTTTCGAAAACATAATAYGTACATCAGTGAGCACAGTAATAGCAATTAATAATTGTYRTAAACGTTCGGGTTGCTGTGTTAAATATAATATTATTATCATTGTCGTAGGGGAAAGACAAATGTATATAACCATTGCGTGTGTATAAATATACAAGCCCATATATAAAGACAAACGGCAACACKTCCGGGAGATAATCATTAAACATAATAGAACGTGTGCATCTTCACGGTTTTCGGCGGAAAACGCGTGATAATTGCGTGTAAACAACCATAAACCGACTTTAACTTTTCCCGGGAAATTAACCGACAAGGATCAATTATTGGGGGTAACGTGGCACGCCACCGCCACCGCCGCCGGGCTCATTATTGCAGCCGTTTACAACTACTCCGCGCAGAGATGATTAAAACGAGAACAAGGGTAAAGTTTTTAACGAAAGACGATTAATGCCACGGCGTGCGTTAATATTGTATATTATGCATCGAACTGTCTATATTAAGACGGTCGTTTTGTCGGACTATACATATTAATCTTCGAGCTCCGTTAATCGTCTACTAATAATATCGAAATATTGTAATACTTACTCATCCATCGCCTGCATTTTTATTTAATAATATAAAATAATAACGACATTATCACCACCACGTAATCCCTATCGGGATGCGATAAATTTCGGCGCACGCCAGATTTAAAAAAAAACCCGTGTTCTCACAACCCTCCGGTTCACTTTAAAACGTGTATAATATGAAATGCTGACCATGGAGGGAAGGAGGTTAGGAAAAGAGGGATAATTTTGAACGCCGAAAATTGGAGAGAGGGTGGCAGCGGAAAGGCACGTTACGATTTACATGGCGTTGCGTAGGCCAATTTGTCATCATTGCTAGCGGGGTTAAAAAAAAATCCTCGGGGAATGAAGCATGACGAAACGTAGAGCCCCGTTGGCCTTTTTATACGTATTTTTTTCTCTCCCCCTGATATGCACATAATATAGCACCGCACCCTCGCCGTCCCGCGACGTTATATTAAAACGCCGAAACGTTTAAGTCGGCATCGCGTATTTATTACCGTTTGATTCGCGACGCCCGTTGTATGTATATATGACATAATATATACGTGTGTATATATTTTACATTACGAGGTTTCGTGTTGCGTTCAATTCTCTCGACGAGATGTCATTTGATCTACTTAATAATATACGCACCATCGGCCAAACGGACTGTAATAAAGCGGCTCGATCGAACGGGCGTCACCTACACACGGTCTTGTACCCGAATTGCCTATACGAGACGCCGGCTTACCGGACGGTTAATGCAGCACAATTATTTAACGGTTTTTTTTGTCCTCACCACGAGTCACCGTCGGTTAACGGTTAATGGACCATAAGGTCGTTGACGAAAACCATGCTTAATAGACGCGAAGTAAGTATAAAATCAAAAATTAATGATATTTTCAAAAACAACAACAACATAAACGATCTACAAGGGCATCGGTTTCCAAAGGAAATTATATTATTAAAATTTACATGAACAATAATGTTGTCGTGTGATATAAGATATAACACACAGTGTCTTGAACCTCCACCCGTAATACACATATGTTGAATTGTTGACAGGTATTTCAAATTGGCGTTATACAGTAAAATCCACTTAATGGAGACACTGTTTAAATGGRACAACCGCTTTATAGGCACAAATAGGCAGAGTCCCAAAAGAATGTATAATTTTATTCATTCATTTTCTGTTAAAACCTGTTTTCTTACCGATACTGTAATTATCTAATCGTAACGTCTATATTATATTTTATATAATAATTTTATGTCGTAGGTACAATGTGTYATAATATCTAGGTAGATGTACATCAAAATGCACACATTTTATTTTTTATCCTACTACCACGTACATATTACATGAAGATTAGAGTGGTTTTCGAAATAATAATATTTATAAAAACTAAAATATATACAAATTATAAATGTTGGTGGCATTATGCAAATGGCATAATATTATTTGTCTTATTTTCCATATGCATGGTGAAACTGCAAAGAAATTATTCGGTTAATCGGGACTGTTGGATAATAGGGATAAAAAGGTCACCACCAAATGTGTCCCAATTAAGCGGATTACGTATATTGTATATAGATGAACCAAAGTTAAAAAATTGAACGTAATTGTTAATTGGTTTTACCCTCAATTAAGATCGAAATTTACTYTCCGGTATAGTATCTGATATCTTGTAATACATAATGTCTACCTTGCCTAGTATAGTGTTAACTCATAAACATTTTAGTATACCACATGTAGTTACACAAACTATTTCAGTCAATCACTATTACAGCGCCAATATGTTATTTAATTTTTTTTTTTAGAAATCTCGGTACTTATGCTCGCGGTATATCTTAGCAGAGTCGCCTTAGCAAATAGAGAAATGCCGCGGTGAATCATAATATTATCATAACATAATAATTATAATTGACGTACTCACCTCGACCAGACCGTCCGACGAACCGCAAATCGTTAAACTTGGCCACCTGGTTTTTCATCAGTGCAGTGCAGTTCCGCAGTTCCGCGCAAAAGTTCTCGTCGTTTCCGGCGCGTATAGTGACTGGCGTGCCGTCGGGAACTTCGCCGAGCGCCACCACCTTGAAGGCCACCGGCAACGTTTTGTTGGACCGCCAGTGCGTGGGCAGCACGGTACACACGACGTGCGGGCAACCGGTGCGGACCAGTTCGCCGGGATGTTCGGCCAGKAGGCTGTCCAGCGTCCGTTCGGCCAGCACGTCGGCCTTGAGGAAACCGTCGCGGTTTCTCATCGGTTCCGCTAGATGCATGTTCGGCGGCGACTAGACGGGACCGAAAAATTACGTGACAAGACGGGAACCAAATAATCACACGACGAGACGGGGAAAAAAACCGCGAATATTACGAGGACGTCGACGACGACGGTAGTGCGGTCGCTGCGGTATGCGTGTCGTCGGGGACGGGCGGACCGGTGCGACTGACTGTTAAAAAAGCGTTTTTTTTTCGCGGCCGTTTCGTCGGTCGGAGGTTGCGGCCGCCGCGGAGCTTTGGTTTACCGCCGTTGGCCACGAAGGAGGACGGGGCCGGCGGCGGAAGGTGTTCGCGCCCCGCCGTGGGCGGAGTTTGTTGCGTGCGTGCGTGTCTGTGCTCTGCGGAAGACCGCGCTGGCCCGGGTCGGCGGCGTTGGCGGTGACGGTGGCGGCGACGGCGGTGGCTAGGCAATAAGAAACGGAAGAAGGAAAACGATACGCGACAGCGGTGACGGAGGATGGTGGTAGTGGTAGCGGTGACGGTGGCGGTGACGGCGGTGTGTACATATAATATAATATATATAAGAAAGAGTGCGCGGCGAGACGAGAAGAACGACGAGAAGAAGAAGAGGCGGGAGAAAAGAAAACGGGGGCGCAAAGAATGTCGGAAGAAAAAGAAAACGGCAGTCGGGGCGGTGGTGGCGGCGTCGGCGGCAGCGGTGCGGGGTGGATACGCCGTCGCCGCGGCGGCGTGTGGCGTCCCGCCGACGCATGCTTAGCGGCGGCGGCCGTAGCCTGTTGATGACGGTGTGCACCCGCCGCCGCCGAGTGAACTCGTAACGTTTCAATTACCTTCCGCCCCTGCAGCAGCGTTTCGGACTGTTCGACTTCTTCGTCGTCACGTGGACCGTGCAAAAGCCGATCCGACCAGCTATAATATATGTAAGGTTTTCTTTTTTGGTTTTCTTCCCTTCTTCGCTTTTTTTTTTCTTTTGCCGTCCATGTCCGCCGACAACATAATTATAAGGTGGATACACATTATTATTATTATTGTTATTATTTTTCCTCCGGCGTGCGCTTATATATACTATTTACAAGTAGATTTATATATTTTTTTTTTTTTGTTCGCACTGTCCCGTGAAAGGCTAAGTAAATAAGTTGAAAATTGTTTTTACGGTTTATTATATTACATCAACTACTCAAATATCGATAGATTTATTAGTGACAAGCTGATCTTGCCCATGACTAATCAAATAATACTAGTGGGAATCTTACCACGTCTTAAACTGATATATWCGTTAACTGMACAAATTTTTAAAAATTTAACCCAATAATCGGTAGTTCTTTTTGAAATGAATAATTTTTAAAACTGACTGCGAGATGCATATATAAACATAATAAACAATCATGTTTATCCATATATACTAAATATCAGAACTATGAGTGTCATATACTTGGTTATGGATCGCTTATACACACACATACACAAGCAGTACCTTGCATTAATATATATTAGTAGTCAAAATAGTATTGTACATTTTAATAATAATATACATCTGGAGGTTGGTGATTTAATGAAACCAATGATTTAATAGAATTTATTGATCCTGAAAAATTCTCCAATAGTATACTAAATATGTAGGTTATTTTTAACACTATTTTTAGTACTCATTTCAATTACCAAAATCGGTTCTTYTGTGWATTCCCACGTGATACCTTGCCAAAGGCCAACCGGTTTTGATGGTATGGTGAAACGGGGGAATGCTATTTTTCAAATATMTATTCCATAAMTATCTAATGGTTTGAAAATTACGTGTTTCTACTTTCTCTACATTCAAGAAATATTTATTGTTTTATTTGTATAAATACAATTATTGGTTACAATACGGTGTAAACTGCAGTATAATGGAATTATTAAACCAATAAATATTAAATAGGTTTTCAATTTTATACTGGTTGATAAATAGTTTTCTTTATAAGTAAGTATGATTTTCAAATT